AATGATAATGATGATGATCGTACTTTTGATGCTGCTGAAAAAGACGAAGAAGAAGTTGATGATGATGATGAAGCTATTGATGCTGGTGTTGAAATTGATAATTGGTTTGCTTGCGATAAAAAGCATCCGAGAAGAATTCAGTGGAATGGAATAAAAGCGATTTGTGTGATTTTGAGACTATTCTGTTGTCCGGGCTGGTGGGCGACCGAAGTGTGGATGTAGACTTGCTCAGCTTAATTGTTCGGGGTTAGTGTCGCGTAACATGTTGTGAGATGGGTTTCGTTTTATGCCTCATTGAATAGTCGACTTTATTGACATGTTGCAGTATTGCTCTGCAATTGTCAATGGTTGCGCAACCGCCAGTTTACCGGAGGCTGAAAGACCACGTGGCCAATTCATATCCACTTTAAGTGTGTGGAAAAGTGTGTTCTTTGTGTTTGCTGAAAGTACAAGTGCCTTCAGATCACTTTGATAATCGGGCCTAAGCAGTTGGCAAAACGTGAAGCGTCCACTTGTGCTTCTGACAGAGGCTTGAGTGCTCGGCGAAAGTGGATGCTGCACTTTGCATGCAAGAAAAGCATGAAGAGGCAAAACAGCCATTCTTTATGCTACTTTAAGCGGGAATTGTGTCTTAAAAAGTTTGGAACAACAGACCAAATGGAGCATTTGTTCATAACACCCAATTCACCAGCACTCCACAGCAAAGCTGAGCCTGCTGGGCTGTTGTTAAAATGAATAGGAAAGCCAGCCAGCCAGCCAGCCAGCCAGCCAGCCTGGTTGGCATACGCTGATGAAGGAGTGATAGTTGGATTTTCACAATCTTATGAATATGCTGCATGTTTCCATTAAATTCTATTCAGTCTTGCTGATCAAAACGCATTCTTAGCTGACCAAAAAGCAATTGTACTGGTATCATCTTTACCTGAAGGCCATTTCACAATTTTATTGAGTATATATATATATATATATAGATAGAGAGAGAGAGAAAGAGAGAGAGAGAATAAATAAATA